ACAAGCACCGTGAATCATCCTGCCACGGGCAAACACAAGACGGACGCACACACCACAGATATACATTCCACGGTCAGACACACACACACACATACACATACACCAGGGCCCAGGAGCTGTGACTTAACCCCTGCAACCACAACTAGGTGAGTGCACACACACATACACACTATTACTACTACATCTACCATGACTAAAACTATCACTATAACTACTTTCACTACAAGAACTATTACTACAAATAATGTTAATAAAAAAAATAAAAATAGTAAAAATATTTAAAACTGACAAAACAAACGAGACCTTTAAATACCATTTAAATAAATGTGTATACTTTTACTAATAAATCGTGATTTTTATTAAATATAAAAATGATAGAAATTTTGTTCTATGTAAAAATAGGTAATCTGTATTTTTATTTCATACACAGAGTTGTATATCATCCAGTGTATATATACATAATTTAATCCCTATTTCCTGTATTAAAGTATTCTTTACTGGTGGTGAACAAGGCTCCTTGTAATGTACTGTACGCCACTTTTTTTTTCAGTTTCTCGTACCTGACAGAAATACCATTATTTCGTACCGTATTTTTTTTCAACAAAAGGTCAACCGTACTGCATTCTAAACAGTGTCAAAGGTACTGCAATCAAAATTTGACTCTGGGACTTGGAAAAAAAAAGTCGCCTTTTAGGAATTAATGTTTTCTGTATCACTGTAGAGGCATTCTGTTCCATTATTCCACTGATTGAAATTTTCCAGTGCTTTGGTGTGTCTCGCTGTCTGACTCTTTTGCAATGCCTGAGAACTTTCCCTGTCTGAGAACTTACCTTCACTACCTGAGGAATGAGAACTTTCCATCACTATTTGAGAAGTGAGAACTTTCCTGCACTGCCAGAGAAATCAGAACTGTAACCTTACTGTTTGAAAACTAAGAACTTTGGTTCACTCTCTGAGAATGCTCCTTCACTGCATGACTTTCGTCCCAGCAATGGCCAATAACATTTTATATATATATATATATATATATATATATATATATATATATATATATATATATATATATATATATATATATATATATATATATATATATATACGCAAAACCACACCACTGTGAAAGAGTAGTGAAATTCCAAGAGCTTTCATGACTACTCACATTGTCAAGGAACTATGATAGTTCCTTGACAATGTCTTTATTCCTTTATTCCTTGGAATTTCACTACTCTTTCACAGTGGTCATTTTGCATATTTTAAAATCACTTGTTTACTGTGATCTTACTGCATATATAATATATATATATATTATATATATTATATATATATATATATATATATATATATATATATATATATATATATATATATATATAATATACAGAATATGAATTGACAGAAAATGCTGAAAAAAATAAAGATTTTTCTTTGAAGTCATTTTATGTCCTAAGACATTATTATTATTATTTTAGCTGTCTAGTGATTATTTTACTCGTGCAGAAGCGACTGTCCTGTAAGGGGTCAAACAGATCTCGAGAAATGACAACTATATCTGATCCGATTCTTTGTATCAAGAGCCCTTCATCAGCACCAAGGCTCCACCTTGAGGTCTGTCTGAGTAGCAGTAAGAGTGTTTCTAATGACAGGATTACTGAGTAATGAAAAACTCCATCTGTTCAATATTTATTTAGAATCTGAACAAAATTAACTTCGTCTCTCAATAAAAACATAACGTAATTTTCCACATATGTATATATGTATATGTATATATATATATATATATATATATATATATATATATATATATATATATATATATATATATATATATATATATATATATATATATATTTCCCCACCCAGAACTCCTTCAAATATATTAAATAATTTAAATAATAATCTTAAGACTACCAAAAAGCACCATTGTTTGTTTATATATATATATATATATATATATATATATATTATAATATAATATATATAAAATATATATATTATATATATATCCTTTTTCTACCCATTTTCAATGTGTTTCCTAAATGAAAAACAATAATTGTTGTATGGTCATTCCCCAAATAAACTGACCAATAACACTGGTGGTAGCCATGTTAATTTACAATTTTCTAGGAAAATAACTATATAAACAACAACATTGATTATAACAACTTTTACAAAATATCAAAATTACAAGCAGAAGCTTTACCATCACGTCACGTAAGGCTTCGTATTATCAGATCTGACTGTGAAAACAGTTTTGACGTGTGGAGAGTATGCCTGGTCTTGTGAGGAGCAAAGTGCCACACAGAGTAACAGGTCGATGATGACAGGTTACTAAAGGTCACTTTAGAGCACAGTACGTAAGTGAAAGTTGACCTTTGCATAATGTAATTTGGGTTGATTTTCCCACCCCGTTTGACCTCGACTATGCCTGATCAGCATTATAACTGGAAGATGACCAACACAGAGCAAAGGACCTGATTGGTACCGGGATTAAACTTAGGAGTTTAAAAAAAAATATACATTTGGAAAAAGACCAAAGCATTTAGTGTAAAAAATGTGGATTATTCTAAGGTTAGGAGTAGGCTTGGTGCCTGCTTAGCGACCACGACGTCGCTGCTCCTCAGCCCGAGTAAACGCACTCACACAACCAACCAACCTACGTCCAGAGTGCAATATCCACCACACGCACTCTAGTTTTGTGACTCACATTTAAGCCTGGTCTCTCCCCTCACACCCCAGCCTCCAGGATTGCTACCCTCCTGGACCAACATGTGTAGGTCGCTAATTCTTTATCGTATTCTTACTATTTATAATTCATTTCATTATATTTAAGCCCTTTAACATTGTTCATTTTTATACATTTCGATGCTTTTACTTTACTCAGCAGCTATACTGAACTCTTTAAGATATATTGTGCAAAACGAGTAAGGACCAATAAAATGTTCCTATTACCGTCAGATTTAAATTTCCTTTGTATTTACGATTCTTTATAATTAAACATCCAATACATTACAGGTTAATTACTAATTATAATGTGTGTAATTAGTCACATTCGCGAAAAACACTATGAAGGAAATTAGCATTGTAAGGTGAATATACAGCACAACGTTACTATATCAAGCAAACTGTCGTGAAAATTCTCACAGATTTAAAAAAAAATAACGAAAGTTTATTTAATATTTTAGATTTATTAAAGTTCCCAGATTAAGAATACTGATGGTTGTAAGATCCATCAGTATTCTTAATGTTCGACCTGAAAAAAAAATTAAGATCAAAACACAAATATTGCATTAGAACTGGCAGAATTCGAATTATTCGTTTTTTAATGCAAGAGGTTTTAATCATCGTAGCGAGTGGTTCCATCTACAAAATATCACAAGTAAATCACTGACTGAACGAAATGTATGTATGCAAAAATTAGTGGGATATGAACCTAAGACCAAGATTTTTTAAGCTGATTGCATTCATAATAAAAGCTGTGAAAGCTTGAGACTATGAAAGTCTGAGACTGTCACTGGTTACCCACCATCGTCATATGACCAAGCCAGGTGTCCACTGTGTTGATGTAAGCCTCCTGCATATCAGCCACATGTTGCTAATTTCCTTCAATCTTCTTTCAAACGTGACTGATTACACTGAAAGTGCTTGAATTTTCTTCCCTTTGGACATGATCAAATTGCATATATCACGACATCTTACCCTGCTGCATGTATAACACTCGCAGTTATACATGCACTTCCCTGTCAGTATAGTAAATATCCAGACAACTTCTCTGCAAAAACTAAGTCCAGGGAAATACTTTTTGAGACGACGTAAGATTGGCGATGCGGCTGAGGACCACAGCACAACAAGGCAGTGTTGACAAGGACCTCCTTGGCACCAGTGGCACCCGGCTCAAGTGTGCCTGGAGAATACTGACCCTCTGGCTTCTCGCGGCACTGATGAACTGAGTGCTTCTTTACCCACAAAAATATTGTCCAGATTTTTTGGCCTAGAGCCCTACATTGCGTTCAAAGCTTCTGATTTCCCCATTAGCCTAGCAAAGCTGAACCCTATTGAAGTAGGCCAGTTAAGGTTGAGCTTTGGAGTTGTTCTTGCCTGTCAGGTCACATTTCTGAAAGTAGGTCAAGTGAACTAAGAGCGTGAAGACAACGGAAGATATCTCTCTCTTTTTTTGTACTAAAGAAAAAGAACATGGAAAAGGGAGTGTGACTGGGAGGGAGCATTATGCTTCTCATGTCGTCAGCTGAGATGAATGACTGCTTGACTGTCAGAATGAAGCACTTGATATGCTTACAGAAATTACAATGTTGCACGCAACCAGTCATTGTACTGACGCACAAATGATGCCGTGATAACGATCAGATGCACATAGAGGCCTTAATACGAATTTGTATTCATGGAATACAACTGTTCTCATAAAAATATATTCAGTGGAGATTTGTCGACTTTTTTTGAGGACAATTTATATAAAAAGCTTTTTAAACACAGGCAATTTTGAATGAAGCGTTGACACAACACTCGTGTCCGGGAAGAGTGTAATAGCAGATAAGAATATAACAGGAAGTACCTTATGCTGGCTGGTAACGTTGACTTGTCGGTGACGGAGCAAGTCCAGGTAGCAGTGAGCCACAGTGACCCTCAGCCACAGTGACCCTGACACGTACCACGTGACCTGTTGTGACCGCTGGGTCAGATGGTGCCACAGGGGAAATAGTGATGTTGCTGAGGCCTTTCTTAGTTTATTGACTTCATCATCATACAATTAAAACTAGCTCAGGTCATCTGAAAAAATACTCCAAGGAGCATCTAATCATTCTGCTGTTGATATTTATACTCTTTACACTCCAAAAGACATTTAAGGCGTCAACAATATTTCCCATTCCTCCGTGATTTTCCTGCACACACTGTATTGCGTATATATATATATATATATATATATATATATATATATATATATATATATATATATATATATATATATATATATATATATATATATATATATATTATTATTTTATCAAAGAGGTGTCGTCAACACAACGACTGGTTGCAGTGTTATGATTACTGACAATTGTGGAAAATTAAATATGGTAAATGTGGCATTGATCGGACGACATGATATATACAAGGTCTCGGCCAAGACGTGTGTTTCTGGTCTCTGCCCAAGACTAATCCACTACTTGATAAAGACTAGGTAACGTTGGGAGCAAGGAATTATTGACTAGAAAATAACGATAAATATAAAGGATGGAACTGGTACCAGTGAATGCTACACACTAAAAACAACCGTTGCCCCAACAACCGCACCACGGCAGATCTATTGCCGGCTCCTTCTTTCTGTTTGTGTTGCTGCTGCTCTTACTGTTAGCACTGACGGAACTCTTTTCCGAGTCTCTGCGAGCCCCTGCACCCAGGGGTGTAATATCACTCACATCGTCATTAATGGTGTTCTCACTAATACTTTCCATTTTGTTCAGCTTTTTCTTTTCCTTCTCTGCCGCCAGTTTCTGCTTGCCGGCGTCGTAAGACATGCTACGACCTATCTTAAGTCTGTTTCTGATGGAGGCGGCGCAGCGTTGAGTGGCTGGCAGAAGCGCCTCCTGCTCTGACCCCGACGCCTTGCGCAGAATGCCATTAGCGAGGGGCATGGGACCTGACGAGGATGCCACGACGTGGGAGTGATACTGCGGCGTCAGCAGCCCGCGCGACGCCGCCGCAACCTCCCGTGGCTGCTCCTCGAACACCACGGAGTTGGGGCGTGGGCGTGGAGACTCCGGTGGGCGGCAGTCGATCCCCAGGCGAGAGTGTCTCCTTCCGCTGACGGGAGACCCACCCCCTGTACCAGCTGTAGTGGATGGCGTGTCAGGGCCTCGAGGTCCCCTGTACAGCGACCCCGCCCGCAGCACGTGCCCAGCAGCCATAGGCGTAGCAGGGGTAGCACTAACCACCAGACCGCCCCCACTTTGACATGGCCCCACGGGGTCCCGGGGGTTGATACCCTCACGGACCCGAGGTAAAGCAGTGGCCGCCGCGGGTCGCTCTGGCAGCTTCAGATTTACGATACATCGGCTGGAGAATGTCTTGGAAGATTTCGTGTTCATCCGAGCATCACTCTGCGCACTGGCGTCAGTGCGAGACATCCCGTCCCGCCCCTCTAGAATACGTTCACACGATTTATCACTGGAAGATGGTTCTGAACACTGGCCAGAGTCCGGGGAGATGGGGGTGGTGAGATCTGTGTGGGGGTTATCGCTAGGGTGTGGGGCGTGGGTGGGGTGGGGTGTGGGTGGGGGTGCTGGTGCGGGAGACAGCTTGGTGCCCCATTCTGGCACGTGCAGCTGCGCGGGGGCGTCGCGCCCGTGGACCGTCAGCACGATGCGACAACCTCCGACGGTCACGTACTTGGGCAGCTTCACGTGTTTCTTCAGTTTCATGCGTACGAAGCGCTCGCCCGTGTCCACACCTTTGTAGAAGCGACGCTCAAGTTCACCTATTATGGTGCCGAAGGCTGAAAGCAGGATGACGAGGGTGGCGTCAGCGATGTAGTGAGGGACGCCCGTCAGTGCCAGCACGATAGACTCGCGTGTGATGTCAATAAGTGGCACTTTGCCGCCACGAACAGTAAGTCCGTGGTGCAGCAGCTGTTGCAGAGCATCACGACAACCCAGGCTAATATACGCAGCACGACCCACCACACGCACGCCACGGATGGACAACAAAGTTCCTTCTGCCTGCTGTTCTAGTTCGTCAATTATTTCTTGTGTGGTAATATCCCACAACTGTGGCATCTCAGCCACCGACACCATAATAGTATTGGGCTCTATGCTATTGAGACGCACCAGGGAGGCTCGCGGGTTGTACACGGAGACGAGAGGCAGCCCTGCATCCAGCGAGGATGAGGTGCCGATATTGGAAGCAATGCTGGAGGAGTAGAGGGGCCCCGCGGGGCTGGTGGGGGGTCGAACGCCAGCGGCAGAATTGAGGCCAGTGCCCAGAGACTGGCTCCTGCTGCCGTTCAGAGGGCCAGAAAAGAAGTAGGAAGAACGTGAGTAGTTAACTGTTGTTGTGTGTGTCACTTCCGGGGACTCACTCACGGGCACTGAGGAGGTTCCTGTAGCCCCGTCTTTACATAACGACAACTGCTTCACCTCTTTCACCAGGGCCCCACTGTTGGCGCCGCTCTTCAGCTTTTCGATGACAGTTGCAGACCGTCGTCTGACGGTGGAGTAGTTAGGGTCGGGAATAACCTTGTCCCTGGAGGGCGAGGCTGGTCGCTCCTCCTCAGGAGGAAGTGCCATCGCCAGAGGTTCTTCAGCGAGGTGCTTCCGTCGGTCGTAGTGAAACGAAGATGCAAAATCAAGAAGTTGATCAAGATTGAAATGGTCCGTCTGAGACAAATAAGTTTCAGAGGTCCTGGGCTGTAAGGGGTCAGGGGGAGAGGAGGTCCCCCCCTCCCCGACATCGACGAAGGCAGGTGTGTCGTCAGGCACACACACCCGCACCGACCCCGGCTGTGCCAGGCCGTCTACTGGGGCGGCACAGGCGGCACTGCCTGGCCCTCCCCCACACTGGGCCTGACTGCAGCCCCCCGCCAGCCCACTCTCCATTGTGGCTGCCTGACGCATAGTGTACTCTACACTCCTCATTTTACCACTGTACACTTTTTGTAAATTTTCTAAGTTATCTGTTTCTACGTTAGCTTCCTCATCGTCATCGTCCTCTCCCTCTTCCTCGTTAATCTTGGGCCGACAGAACCTTTGCTCCAGCTCCTCGTCCTCATCCTCATCATCGTCATCATCGTCCTCGTCACTATCCCCGTCCATATTTTTAACAAAGTTTTCAAGTTTGTCGTACTCGTCACGCAGCGTCCACACTTGCTGCTTCAATGTTTCATTCTCTTTCTTGAGCTTGCGTAGGTCTGACTGGCCCCGGTCCACTTCGGCGTTGATCTCTATAGTGCGCATGCGCAGTTCTTCGTTTTCGAACATAACCCCGCGGCTAGAGCGCTTATCTAGCTTGCGGGAAGGTTTAAGGGCACCTTCCTTTTTCTTGGATCGCATCATGGTGGAGGGTGCGCGGCTGGCGGAGATGAGGTAGCGCGCGCTCACCTGCACCACGCGGAGACAACCCCGCACATATCGGCCAGAGGCGCGGCCCCCGGCGTTAAGGGGGTCGCGCCCCCCCCGTCGGGACGTCCCCAATCCTAGTCACTTGGATTCGCAGGTACTTCTGCTTGAGGACGCGGACGAGGCCAAGGCGCCGCCGCCCCCGCCGGCCCGCGGAGTCGCCCGCATCATCAGTGGGCGGGAGGGGCGGCGCCGTGCTGGCGAAGGTAGCAGCAGCAGGGGGCAGGCGAGGTCGCGCACCACCTGCCGCTCAGCATCACGGCACCATCACGTCCTCATGATAACACCTCGCTCACACCTCCTCCACACACTCGCAGGCGGCCCCGCACAGGACGCCGCCAACCTCAACACTGAAAGTTAAATATTATGAGAAACAGTATTAAAATAAGTGTAAATAAACCCGAATACAATCCTTCCAGGTGTCCGTGCAAGACTAAAGCTGTGACACCACTAGCAGAGGTGTCACTCGAGCAAAGCTAAAGCGGTGACACCATCAACAGAAGCGCCGAGCTCACTCTAGGAGATGTCATTGCAAAGGCTAAAATTGTGACACCACCAGCAGAGGTGTCAGTCTCGCCCACTCCAGGGGGTGTCAGAGCAAAATCTGACACCTAAAGCACTCCAATCCTCACCAGTTTTTCATTTCCTTCACTCACAGTGACAAGAATATAATTCACAACCACAACATTACAAATCTAAAAGTCTTCAACTGTGACACCTGTCAAATCATAAGTTTAATTAAGCTAATCATATGTACTCACCTATTTGTGGTTGCAGGGGTCGAGTCACAGCTCCTGGCCCCGCCTGTGTGTGTGTGTGTGTGTGTGTGTGTGTGTGTGTGTGTGTGTGTGTGCGCGCGCACGCGCGCTCCCAAGGACCATCTCTACACCCTAAGATGCTATTTTTCCAGAACTGCTCCTCTGAAGTCTTGTAAATAGCAGCAGTGAGGGGATGAGAGGCAATGTCATGGGAAAAGGCTGAGAAGAAGGTTATAAAAAAGAAGAGAGTAATAAAAAATGTATAGGAGCACAAATTACTTTGCTTGCCTCGTTAGCCTCTTCTAAACGTTTAGGTACTGGAATGTCCACACCCAAGTTCAGAGAGAATTTTTATTTTTTTTTATAAACCCCAGCAGTAATATGTTTCATTTATGATGAATAATGTCGTACGAGGCGACTAAAATGCCAGGAGCAAGGGGCTAGTAACCCCTTCTCCTGTATATATTACTAAATTTACTAAATTTACAAGGAATCTGAGCCAACCATACACAGGCAGAATTAAAATGTGTTATTTATAAACTTATGACGTCTGTATAACAGGAAGTTACAGGTTCCGTAAGGTGAGAGAGAGAGAGAGAGAGAGAGAGAGAGAGAGAGAGAGAGAGAGAGAGAGAGAGAGAGAGAGAGAGAGAGAGAGAGAGAGAGAGCATAATGATGTCAACGAGATAAAGTCAGTTGATCAAATGAAAATGCTGGCCCACAGATGGCTCCAACTTCATCCTGTTCCCTACTTGTATGTCTCCTAACAATAAAAATGCTTTCAAATGAGCTGATGTAGGTAACAGCTCTTAGCTTGCCAATAAAGTTAGGAATCCTTAACCTGTAAATAGCTTGTCAATAAAGTTAGGGATCCTTAACCTTGTCAAACCCTGTGTAAAAAAAAAAAAGAGAGAGAGAGGGGAGGTACGGTTGATGAAAGCAGAGTAAAGGAGGGAGGGCAGAAGGTAAGGAGGGCGGTAGAGTTCTATCACTTTCACCTTACGACAACATTTCGGTCCGTCCTAGAGCATTATCATAACTGGTCCAGGACGAACCGAAACGTCGTCCTAACTTTCCTCTTCTAAGAGTGGAAAATGAATTGTTCCAACCAGGGTAAAAAAAAAAATGGTGCGAATTCTTTGAGTCACAGTTTAATAGGCTATTCTCAAGGCAGGATTTACTCTGATATGCTACTCTCAATGCACGAGTTACTCCGATAAGCTAGGCTATCATTAAAGCATGAGTTACTATGATTGTTTTCAAGTCTTCACAGAAAGTAACCATGTCAAGTTTGTGGCCGATAAACAAACAGTTCATAATTATAGATGCACTGTATAGAGTCTATAACACTGAAGAGATGACTCAGCTTGAAATATAATTCATAGCTGGGGAGAAAGTTGTAGCGGAAATAGTGTGAAATGTAGACAAGATGGAAACTCACACATGCAATACGATGCGATCCTTTATTTATAACGTTTCGCGTAGGCAATGGGCTCCTTTCTCCCAGTCAACACTTGTAAAAGCCCCATGCTTGGGCGAAGCGTTGTAGGTAAAGAATCGAAGTATAGTGTATTTGTGTGTTTATTTCTAGGTGGGTTAGGCCTATTTGTTATGAAGTACTGTATGTAACATTCTTATAATACATTGCAAAATATATTTATCTTAAGTGGTAAACACTGATGAAATCCCTTCGATGTTGCAGTTTAAACATCAATATTATATTTAATTCAACATCCAGACTAATAATAATAACAAATAGTAATATATCAGTAATACAAGAATAAGTCTTTATATTAAATTAACGTAAATGGATGAATGACTAATCGGCAAAACGTTGAGAAATTGGGACGGGCCCAGTAGCTTCCCTGGAGAAGGCCACCGTGGTTGTGACGAGGGCTGAGGAAAAGGACACTTGTGTGGTAGGTAATACACATGGGCAACAGTTAGGCAACTTTATTCCGAAACGTTTTGCCTACACAGTAGGCTTCTTCAGTCGTAGATTTGAGGTTGTCAGTCCCTCAGCCTGGAGTCGAGTTCTGTTTCATAGTCTGAAACAGTCTGAAGAGACAAGCGACAGTGTGGAGACTTACATACTGTCGGAAGAAGAGGTGCAGGGTGGCAGAAGAGAGAATATAGTCACTGAGAGGTCACGTCCCTCTCAGATCCAAAGACTCACTTGAAAAAGTTGTCCAAGGTGTTTTCTCTTCTGTACCAAGATGCCATTGTGTTGCAGTGTCTGACAGTAAATATTGTATAACATTTTGATATTCACTCTGTCAGACACTGCAACACAATGACATCTTGGTACAGAAGATACCTTGGACCTCAAATCTACGACTTTAAGGGTGATGGACTGATTACATCGTCTTCACATATCTACTGCTCCTGCCTACTTTCTGCACTCGACTGAAGAAGCCTACTGTGCAGGCGAAACGTTTCGGAATAAAGTTGCTTAACTGTTGCCCATGTGTCTTACCTACCATCCTGTCGGTAATGTATACCATTTTGATATTCAGGACACTTGTGTACAATTCAGGAGATTGATTTGAAGGAAACGTTTCTCCACGATTGGCTTTATCAGGACTGGTGAAGTTACTCGTGACGAAACGTTTCTTTTAATGCACGTCTTGAAGTGAACACAATGTTCTTGCCCACAGCGCTACCGCGGCTCTGCACCTGTACTACTTATAGAGGGGGGAAAGCACTTTCATTCACGAGTCATTCCATTTGTAATTTCATTACCATGATAATTAATAATCGACAGGTTGGTTATTACACTCACAGCACAGGATCAACTCTTGCTGTGACCAATTATATTTGCAATTAATTTTTTATATGATTATGCATTGCCCTGATCAATCTATGTGCTACATTAATTCTATATAAATAAACCTTTTGTATATTCCCTGTGATCTCTGGTGAACACGGCTGTATTTGTATTTATTACACGAGAACCAATGCACGCAGACTAGAACCAAAATTTATTATTTTTGTATTTAAATATTTAGGAGAGCTGACCTACATTTTAAACATTATTATAAAACATATTACTATCTTTGAAATTGATTGCAAATTTCATTCTTCCTGTGATTCTATTTTTTATTTTGCCTCTGATGTAGCTAGTTGACTGTGTGCATCATATCCATCTTGTGGAGGGTACTGCAACATCGAATGGATACATCTGAATTTAAATCTACAATTTATCTTATCTGCAAGCCAATTTAGGATACTTGCTTTGTATGTCTATCTTATTTTAATTAGTAGAAAACCTTGCCAAATCACATAGGATATTACACTATCTCAGTAAGTGGACAGTCAAGCACACAGGGAGATGGGAAAAAAATCGAGAAATTAGTTACTTAACGTCAGTAACCAAGATCTAACATCGAGGTGGACAGAAGTTAGTTCAACACAGATGTAAAGACGACACTACTATCAGACGGCACCCTCGACGTCTGTAACCGTGGGGACATGTGCAGTGAAATAAACCACGGTACTTGGTACCACAGTACCATGGCGAAGATAGATTAGGTTAAGTAAAATATGTTAGAAAACAAGACTATTTCCTGACGCAGATCTTAGTTATGATGACCCGCCACTGGAGCTTTTGGTCATCTGAATGAGGCCTTCCACTAGCTTACCGGTCCACCCCTTATGATAATTCTTTAATCCATTTCAAATGAGTCGAAAAAACTCCAGCTGGCCCAGTAGTTTACGCACTGGCCTGGAGTTCTATTTACGACTCACTAGCCATGGCTTCTAACCCCCACCCGTACCGTGGCTTGTTTGCAATCGTGTTATTACAATTTCATGAGTCAGGTGCAGTGGTTCAGCTGCTACGATACCGGTGATCGTCAACACAATAACCCACCTTCATCACCATCAATGAACCGCTTACCTTTGGGTTTCAGCTGAGGAGACTCCAGCACTCCAGTGCTCCAAGAGGCACCTCCTGGATCACCCACCGCCCGCCCTCTCCTCTCTTCTCTTCCTTCTTTCTCTCCTTTCTCTTTTGTCCTTTTCTCCTCCTCCTTCTTGATAGTCACCTAGGAACACCTCACATCGTTCTCTGAGCGTTCACTTAATCATTATTCTTGTTTATATTGCAGCATGGGCTTTCATTTTTATCTTCATATTTTGGTCTTTACAATGGCCCAAAATTCACTGAAATAAAATTATGTATTTATCTGAAATAAATAAAGGGACTGGTTAGCAGAGATGAACGCAGCATCAACAGTGACGTATACACAGGTTTCGACTCAGGACCACATCAATAGGTTTTTATAACATCACTTCATCAACATGGTTGATGCTATTGCCATATCAACACAAGTTGTATGGCTACATCAAAAGAAATGATAACATGGCTACATCAACACCACTGATCCCAAGGCTATATCAACACCATTGATTTTATGGCTACGTCAACATCACTGATGTAGCTAGTTACATGTGTTTCTCGTTTCTATATTAACGTGTTTGGTCTCATCAACATATCAACATGATTCTTCTCGTAGCTACATCAACACATTTGGTTATGTTGTCCAATCAACATAATTGACAATACAGTTCTATTGACATCAACACATTATAATGCAACAACACACTTACAATATTGCCACATCAACATATTTGGCCATACTGCTACATCAACAGATTTAGTAATGTCACATTAACATAAAAGACAATATTGCAATTTCAACACATTTAGCCATCACCATATCAATATAATATGCAATATGCTACATCAACACATATAGCAATATTGTCACATCAATACATCTAGTCATATCACATGAACATAATATGCAAAATGCCACATCAACATATTTGGCAATATTGATACATTAACACATTTAGCAATGCTGCCACACAACACAATTGATAATGATACATTAACACGATTGATAACACTGCACATCATGTATCACTACAATGGCATATCATGTATCACCACATTGCCACATGTGTTACTAAACGGCCACATCATGTATCACCACACTGCCACATCATGTATGATGTGGCAGCATAGTGATACATCACCATACTGCTACATCATACATCACTACACTGCACATCATGTATCACCACACTGCCACATTTTGTAACATTCTATGACCAAAAAAATAACGAAAATAACGAAAAAATAAAGAATTGCTCAACTTTATGCTCATGGAATACAATACAGAAAGCTGATGAATAAGATACATGTGTAACGTGTTTTATTCATCAATTGTTGCACATGTGTTCTAGTCATCAAGTGTTACACATGTGTCTTCACCAAGTGTTGCACATGTGTCTTCTTCATCAAGTGTTGCACGTGTGTCTTACTCATCAACTTGTCCATATTGTATACCGTTAAGAATAAGAATGAGTAAACAAGAAAAATGGAGAACCAAATGGTCTACTGTCGTTTATAAAAGCTGAATACGTAGATTCAATGACAAAGATTCAAGGACGATGAAATACAAAGATTCAAGGACGATGAAATACAAAGATTCAAGGAGATAAAAAAATCAAGATAATAAAAAATATAAAACAATAAAAGTAAAGTTGAACCTCCATGACAGTCAGACATCATGGGTTTTAAAAGGAACATTTAGTATATTATATTGAGGGAAGCGCTAGACCCGCTAGGGTTAGCACCTGGGGAATGGAAAGTAATCAGGTTTGATCCAAGGGAAAGGGTAGCTCCAGTTCCTTGATCAAGGGCTCTTCATCAGCATCAAGGCAACTCCCTTCCCTAATTGAAGGGAATATGTGGGAGGAACTAAGACACTTGGGAAATTTGGGGAATTATTTCCTACCTGAAAATAAACTGCTTGACAAACTGACAGATATAAACCGACTGATAAATATAAACTGACAAATATAGTGACTGACACACACACACACACACACACACACACACATACAAATTCATACACACACACACACACACACACACAAATACACACACACACACACACACACACACACACCTGACGACACTGGAGGACAGGAGAGATAGGGGGGACATGATAACGACATATAAAATACTGAGAGGAATTGACAAGGTGGACAAAGACAGGATGTTCCAGAGATTGGACACAGTAACAAGGGGACACAGTTGGAAGCTGAAGACACAGATGAATCACAGGGATGTTAGGAAGTATTTCTTCAGCCACAGAGTAGTCAGTAAGTGGAATAGTTTGGGAAGCGATGTAGTGGAGGCAGGATCCATACATAGCTTTAAGCAGAGGTATGATAAAGCTCACGGCTCAGGGAGAGTGACCTAGTAGCGATCAGTGAAGAGGCGGGGCCAGGAGCTCGGACTCGACCCCCGCAACCTCAACTAGGTGAGTACACACACACACACACACACACACACACACACACACACACACACACACACACACAAAGAGACCTGGACAGGCTGGATATGTGGTCCAGTAACTGGCTTCTCGAATTCAATCCTGCCAAATGCAAAATCATGAAGATTGGGGAGGGGCAAAGAAGACCGCAGACAGAGTATAGGCTAGGTGGACAAAGACTACAGACCTCACTCAGGGAGAAAGACCTCGGGGTGACCATAACACCGAACACGTCACCGGAGGCACACATCAACCAAATAACTGCTGCAGCATACGGGCGCCTGGCAAACCTGAGAATAGCGTTCCGATACCTTAATAAGAAATCGTTCAAGACACTGTACACTGTGTATGTTAGGCCCATACTGGAGTATTCAGCACAAGTCTGGAACCCACACCTGGTCAAGCACGTCAAGAAGTTAGAGAAAGTACAAAGGTTTGCAACAAGGCTAGTCCCAGAGCTCAGGGGAATGTCGTACGAGGAAAGGTTGAGGGAAATCGGACTGACGACACTGGAGGACAGAAGGGTTAGGGGAGACATGATAACGACATACAAGATACTGCGGGGAATAGACAAAGTGGACAGAGATAGGATGTTCCAGAGAGGGGACACGGAAACAAGGGGTCACAACTGGAAGCTGAAGACTCAGACGAGTCACAGGGATGTTAGGAAGTATTTCTTCAGTCATAGAGTCGTCAGAAAGTGGAATAGCCTAGCAAGTGAAGTAGTGGAGGCAGGAACCATACATAGTTTTAAGAAGAGGTATGACAAAGCTCAGGAAGCAGAGAGGGAGAGGACCTAGTAGCGATCAGTGAAGAGGCGGGGCCAGGAGCCGAGTCTCGACCCCTGCAACCACAATTAGGTGAGTACAATTAGGTGTGTACAATTAGGTGAGTACACACACACACACACACACACACACACACACAGACTGACAAATGGAGCGTCCACACAATGTGTGGAAAATAAAACTATGTGAGAGGGGAAGGCCCTTCCAAAAATATGTCAGACCCAGTGGAAATTGTTGATATATAAAACAGAAAAATCCATTAGATTAAAGTGAATAAAGCACTTTGATCAAAGTGGAGTGGATAAAACACACAAAAAAATGAGAGCAAAACTGCTTTCAAGGCAGAGTTTTTTGCAACAAAATTCTTGATGTCAATACATGTGAATACAACAGTCTGTATGAGATGATTCAAGAGGGAAATAAAGGTTGTATTCGTATGGATTTCAAGTGAAGAATTCACATAACAACATGAGTGGAACAAATCGCAAATTACCCAAACTTAGGAAAAAGAAGTCAAGAGAATGTCTGGGTCCGCCCTGGACCATTGTTAGGGCATAAGTGATTTCAAAATTTAGTTTTTGATATTGCCTGGAGTTTACCTGTAGAGGGTTTCGGGGGTCAACGCCCCCGTGGCTCGGTCTGAGACCAGGCCTCATGGTGGATCAGGGTCCGATCAACCAGGCTGTTACTGCTGGCCGCACGCAAGCTGACGTACAAACCACAGCCCGGTTGGTCAGGTACTGACTTTAGTACCTGTACTTCTTGAAGACAGCCAGGGGTCTACTGGTAATCCCCTTTATGCATGCTAGGAAGCAACTGAACAGTCTTGGGCCCCGGACACTTACTGTGTTGTCTCTCAATGTACTCGTGGCGCCCCTGCTTTTCAGCGGGGGAATGTTGCATCTCCAGCCGAGTCTTTTGCTTTCATAGGGAGTGATTTCCGTGTGCAGGTTTGGTACCAATCCCTCCAGGACCTTCCAAGTGTATATTATCTCTCTCTCTCGCCTGCGTTCCAGGGAATACAGGTCAAGGACCTTCAACCGTTCCCAGTAATTTAGGTGCCTTATCGTACTTGTGTGTGCCGTGAAAATTCTTTGTACACTCTCCAGGTCTGCAATGTCGCCAGCCTTGAAGGGGGCCGTTAGTGTACAGCAGTATTCCAGCCTAGAGAGCACAAGCGATTTAAAGAGAATCATCATGGGCTTAGCGTCAATAGTTTTGAAGGTTCTCATTATCCATCATATCATTTTCCTAGCAGATGAGGTAGATATACTTTTGTGGTCTTTGAAGGCGAGATCCTCTGACATTTTTAATCCCAGGTCCTTCACATTACTTTTTCGCTCTATTGTATGGTTAGAATTTGTCGTATACCCTGATACATTTTAATTTCCTCAAGTTTTCCATATCTGAGTAGTTGAAATTTCTCCTCGTTTTGAGTGACCCATTCGCTGATATGGTTGATGTCCGCTTGGAGTCTTGCGGTGACTTCGATGGAGGTCACTGCCATGGTAATCCGGGTCTCAGCCGCAAAGGAAGACACGGAGCTATGGCTTACATCTCTATGTCAGAAATGAGGATGAGGAATAGAATGGGAGCGAGTACTGTGCCTTGTGGAACAGAGCTTTTTACCGTAGCTGACTGGGGCTTTACTCTGTTTACTATTATCCTTTGTGTTCTATTTGTTCTATTTATAGATCCAACTTTTCCTGTTATTCCTTTATCACGCATTTTGTGTGCTATTACACCATGGTCACACTTGTCGAAGGCTTTTGCAAAGTCTGTGTATACTACATCTGTATTTTGTTTATCCTCTACAGCATCCAGGACCTTGTCGTAGTGGTCCAGTAGCTGGGACAGGCAGGAGCGACCTGCTCTAAACCCGTGTTGCCCTGGGTTGTTTAAGTGATGGGTATCTAGGTGGCTGGCGATCTTGCTTCTTAGAACCCTCTCAAAGATTTTTATGACAAGGGATGTTAGTGCTATCGGTCTGAAGTTCTTTGCAATTATTTTACTGCCACCTTTGTGGAGTGGGGCTATGTCTGTTGT